TGAATTTAGTGTGGTAACAGTAAGGAGTATGAACTCATAAAATATGTTATAGCATTTTAAATGTAAGAGCATGTAACAGTAATTTAGGATGTACTGCCCAAATATGGTTATTAGGGAAGTTACTCTGGGGGGGGGTGGCATTTTCCAGGCTACAAGCTACCTCAGCCAGTAACTGGCTCGTACCCCAGCTGAGTCAACCTACAACTGTCTAGAGAAGCCAGTAGTGCTTACTCATGGGAGAGCTAAAATTCTGCATCATGATGGTTTGACTAACTCTAAACATCGAAAGTACTGTATTTAATAAGAGATTTCTATCATGTTTATGAGAACATCTCCAGAAGGATGAGATCATCTCACAGAGCACATCTCCCAAGAACCACAGCCACCTGCTTTTTGCAAACAAGTGGAAAGACACAGATGCTCTAAGAGCAGTCAGGAGATAACTATGGGAATAACATAGATAAAGGCTGAGAAGGCTGGGGTGAACTTTTCTCTTTTAGAGAAAATACTCTGTGTTAATAACATGTTTAGAGCTAAGTAATGCTTTTGATTTTGTATTTTTTTACTTTTAGAAGTTTAAATACATTTTTCATGCCTGCCACTGAAAACTATAAGGTTTTTGCATTTCATGATTTTATTCTTAAGACCTCTGAAACGTTCTAAAGATGCATTCATTTTTATTATTGAAAGTCTGTACTCTAAATGAAGATGCTCCTGTATCTCAGAATGTAACTTTTTAAAATATATTTTATTGTACTTATGCTCCTATATTTTTGACTGTATTAGTTCCTGTATTTTAACACCCCTATGTTTTGTATTCAGGTAAAACTTAAATTCACTTTTCATATTTTTAAAATATTTGTGCCTACAGCTTTGTTCATAGCTATAAGGATGATTTGGCAAGATAAAGCAACATTCCTGTGACTTCTCAAAAGTTTCATGTTTGTAATATTTTTTGATTTTATGTTTTTTCATATGGAACGTAGAAATGATGTAAATAAATATAACTTGTATAGAATTAACAGTGCCCTGGAATTGCAACCATGAAGACACTTATAATGAGATACCCAGATGAGTTTACCCAGATGTGACTGATTTTTTGTTTCATTCCGGTATTAACCCTTTACAGGGATAATGTCACCTAGAGCAGTGATTCTTAACCTTTTTGAAAGAAACGCCCCCTTGAGCCATTGAGGAAGTTATCATCGCCCCCCTCCCCGTGGTGATGATTGATTGATTGATTGATTGATTGATTGATTGATTGATTGATTGATTTAAGGCACTTAAATCCAATGACCCCTGAAAACAAAATTAAATTCCAAGAAAATGAAATCCCCCCCCCCCAAAAGTAACATTTAATGATTTAGTTGCAAGTGAATTTTAAGATGCAAAAAGAAATATAAAAAGGGCATAAAAACAAATGCAGGAACTAAAAATTTCAAGACAAAAAGTCTGAAACTAAATTAAAATTGGAAGAAAATATATATTCATGCACACTGTAAAAAGGCTGCAGCCATCTTCATAGGTTTGACTTGCTCTAGCGCCCCCCTACCGCCCCCCTTCTGCTCCAGCGAAATCGCCCCCTGGGGGGCATTATCGCCCACGTTAAGAACCACTGACCTAGAGGTAAAGAGACTGCTTACAGGACTCCTAGGTAAGTTAGTTATCCAAATCAGGTTCTGAGAGAAATTAATTACACCAGAAAACCCATAAGATAGAGAGAACATTGACAAAACACATAATAAACATTTCTCATGTTTCTGGTTGTATTCTTCTCCACAAGCGAGATATGTGACTGGCAGCAAAATTTAGGGCAACCAAAACAGAAGCATTTCCATCACAACAATTAAGCTATTGTATTCATTGTCAGAAGCCACTAGCTCAGGGGTCCCCAACCTTTTTCCCCCTACGGACCGGATGGGGAAGGCGGGGCACCCCCCCACCCGTGTGCATGCCTAACAAGTGCACACACTCTTTCGCACAAACGAAAGCGCACTCATGCGCATGCACCAACAGTGGTGTGGTACTTGTGTGGGCACATGTGCGCTCATGCGCATGTGCAAACAGCAGCGGGGCGCTTGTGCAGGTATGCACACACTCATGCACAAATGGCGGTGCAGCGCTCACATGGGTATGCTGGAGTGCACGCATGCATGGGATGGGGCGGGAGATCTGTCTCCACGGCCTGGTCCAGCTCAGACCATGGACCAGTACTGGGCCACGGACCGGGGGTTGGGGACCCCCGTACTAACTGACACATATGTGTATTTGTTTTTAAAATGATGAGACAAATAAGTATAGTGCAGCGCAAAAACCCAAAGATGATGTTTGGTATTCAATGCCAGTAGATTAATGACCTTATCTTCCTACCTCCCCAGCAGCAATCCTGCATGGCGCCAAAAATCAACCTGAGGGATTGCTAGTTCTCCCTAGCAGGTTTTTACAATGCATAGGGGACTGCATGAAAAGGCTGTCAAACCGACTGGACTTTGGCATAGGTCTCCCAGCAGCAGCAGACAAAGCGGTTATTTATACAAATAATGATATTCAAATAGATGAAATCTAAAAGGAAAAGTGACTGCTTGCATATATCTGCTTTAAATTAACAGTGGGAAAAGAAATAAATTGGCTAAGTAGACTTTTATATGATACAACAGGCAAATCATCATTGATGCTGATGATGAATTCATTCTCTAAGGGCTATGGCTAGTGCAGGTAACACAGTACAATCCATATACAAGACAGAAAGAAGTACCAGCAGGGCTTAACAAATTCCAAGTTTTGTAGAAGTACTAAAGTAAATTAAACTAGGATTTTGCTCCCTATCCCATGAATGTGGCTATCATGTCAAGATTATCAGTGGACATTGAACACTTAGTGTCTGTTAACTGAAGAAGAATAGAACAGCACATCCTGAAAGAGGACACGGAAACCTGGTTGGAATGCTAAAAGATAGATGTGTTTGTCTCATCACTTTAAAAGCATAGATACATGTTAGCTAGTGGTTTCTGACAATGAATACAGCAACAATACAACATTCTGCTACAAGTCCCATTTGTGAGCTGCTGAAGTTCGTATTCATCTGTATGTCTTGTCGCTTTCTTTTTTGAAAACTTATAATCTATGCTAACACCCTAATGCACTGATTCTTAGTCAATTCTGACTACAATGAGGTTGGTAACTTTGGCAGGATGGGGGCCAGTTTTATTTGAGCATCCATACAGGGCATCGCACTAGCTCTCAAAATGTAAAAATGTTTTTCCCCCTTAAATCAAAACTCCATGTCTGATTTCTAGTCTATGGGATGGTGTGGTGTGAAGGAAGGGCAGGGGACTACCTATGTGAAAAACACTGTTCCCGAAGTCTCCAGGGACAGCTACATTTTTCCTCATCACGATGGTTTTTGTTTTTTTTAACTTTGTTCAATTATAAAACAAGGATGTTACACATTAAACAAAACCAACCATGTGTGCTTTATAATGTGTTGAACTGTTCTTTTCCTCAGCTACCTAATTTCTTCCCTACTCTTCCTCTATACATACCCCATACACTGTGCATGTTTATAGACAAATCTCATCACAAGTTACTTCCAAGAGAATATGAAAAATACTCCTTGTTCTGTCAGAATTCATCTATGCCTCAAGTGACAACTCTCAAACGACATACCTGTAATCTGTATAAACTAACACTGATTTTACAGCTTGAAGGAATAAATCTGGGAGTGGGAGGGAGATGCACTTCTTCTGCCAGTGGGCCACATCAGGCTCCTGAAAAGGCTTTCAACTGTTGCCAAAACTAAGCAGCTACATGGTTTAAGCGGGTGTCAGAACCCTGTGAAAGCATGACAGCGCATTTCTCAGTGGTGTCTAGATCAAGTATAGGGCACATTGTCAGTCATGCTATTTAGTGCTAGTAAAAGGTGGATGGTAGTGGTGAGGAAGAGGAGGAGGCAACAATACTTTGTGGAGTCAAGAGGAAAAATAGGAGAAAAAGTAAAATACAATCCTATGAAGTTACTTCTGGCACCAGCAGGGCTTTCAGTGGCAACACCAGTGATGGTGGAGAATATGACAAGATCCACACAAATGGCAAGGACTTGCCCACTCTTTGATGATTATATAGTTATCATACATGGTACAAATACAGAATCATTTTTCCACAGAGCATTGTTCAAGGAGAAAAATCCAGCATAATTCTTAGTCTCCTCAAAGTATTTTCAGTACAGTTGCTAAGAAACCGTATCTTATCTGAGATGTGCACATAGTCTCTCTCTCACACACACATTTCCTCAAAAGCTACATTGTAGAGGAATGGGCAAGCAACAAGACTATACTACTAGGAAATTTTCTTGACTGCAACAACATAGGCATTTAAGTAATATAGGGGACGCAATGGACTTCTTGCAAAGATCAGTGGAAGCATTTCATTGACGGTGAAATTTGTGCATGTTTCTCTCTTAGCAGAATAAACACGTACTGTATGCTAATAGTTTCTATCTTTCCAATTATATCATTATCACCAATAAAGCTGGCAACAGAACTGAACAAAAAGCCAAAGTGGGGGGACAGTTACTATTAAAAATTCTCAATTTAGCAACACATAAAAATGCACATTTTTTTCTGATTTGCCAAGACTGAAAAAATCATTTTGGGATCTTTCTTGGGGGATGGGGCAACACTTAAATGGGGTTGAAAAGAAATTCAAAATTGAAAGAGAAAAATGAGAGACAGCGAATCACTTCTGAAGGGAATGTATTATGTGAAGATCTGAGTGTTTCTTCTTTCACTCAAAAGAAACCTTAGTCTATAGAGGAGAAAACAGAAGACTATTTCTTTCAAGAGTGTTTCAATGACAAAATTACAAGTCACAAGCTGACAGACAGTAGTAATTTCTGAAGAATTAACCACAAAAAAAGTAATATTTACTGTTTCTTTTCTTTAGGTCATGAAAGCCAATGAAGAAGAGGGTGAGGTGGGAATACAGAAACAAATTAGTCTTACCTCATCCAATTTGATGTTGTCTCATCTGTTCCATCTATGGATTTGTAGTGGTTGTTCTTATCAACAATCTGGAGGGGGAAATGTGCAACACAATAGAAGGTATAATCAAAAAAAGGAAACACAATGATTAAGGTTTAGCTTCTCTGGTGTCTCCTGAACAGCATAATCATTCAACTAAGAAAGAAGTTGGTGAACAGCCTGAAGAACTTTTACAACGGATTCAAATTTGTACCAGTAGCACAAAAATTTTGTTCCAGACTGCCAAGGTTTTTTTCTCCAATCAACACTTCCAAACTTTCCTTTGCTCTACACATAATTACTCCTATTGTAAACCAAACTATGGGCACTTGCTCCCTTAGCAGAAGTCTAAAAGTATTTATTTAACTGATTCCTACTATATCTACATGGGCAAGAACTTGGTCAGCATATACTTACGAGCCAAGAGAAGAATCCAGCTGACTTGTCTTGACTGGAGAGCTTCCCTTCATATGGTCCAAAGATACGGCCTTTGGGGATGGACTCCACCACGCAGCGCACATCCCGTTCTCCATTAGGCTCTTTAATCACTTCAATGCCTGGTGGGACAGTCAATGCAGCTCGATCAGGGATGCCAACAGGTACTGGAGCATCTGATACAAACATGGGTGGGCCATGATTTGGACATTCATCCACAAAATACTCCTGGCAGGACTCACAGACTGGAGAAGAAGAAAAAGGAAACAGGAATTACTCTGGACAACTGAATCTGAGTAACAATGATGGTGTTACCAAAATAGTAAAGAGTCTTACAGTATTTTAAAGACACACACACACACACAGCACAAAAGAATTAACAATGAAAAATCATTGCACCTGTTCTATCAGCTCTGGGTGTAGCTGGGCAGCAGATACAGCACAGATGGGGAACCTATGGGACTTCAAATGTTGTTGACTACATATTTCAAAGCCCAGTGATGTTTGAGCAGCTACAGGTTTGCCACCTCAGATACATACAGTCGATTCTGTTTAAGTTACATTGGCTATCAGTTGCTGCCCGGGCCCAATTCAAAGTGCTTGTTTTGACATATAAAGCCCTAAACGGCTTGGGCCCTGGATACCTGAAGGACCGCCTCCTTCCATATGAACCTACCCGACAGTTAAGATCTAACCAGGGGGCCCTTTTGAAAGAGCCGTCCCTTAAGGAGATAAGAGGGAGGGCTTGTAGAGAAAGGGCCTTTTTGGCAGCTGCCCCCAGACTATGGAATGCCCTCCCGACTGAGATTCGTCTGGCGCTAACGCTGATGACATTTTGGCGCCAGGTCAAAACCGTCCTGTTCCAAAAGACTTTTAATTGAAATAATATCAGCTGTGGGTCTCATGGCAATTTTTACAGTATATATTTTTAATTGCATTTTAATTATTTTGCCCTTTTATTTTGCCTTTTTATTGTATTTTAAATGTTGTAAGCCGCCCAGACACCTTCGGGTAGTGTGGGTGGCATATAAGATAGATAGATAGATAGATAGATAGATAGATGGATAGATAGATAGATAGATGGATAGATGGATAGATGGATAGATAGATAGATAGATAGATAGATAGATAGATAGATAGATAGATAGATAGATAGATAGATAGATAGATAGATAAAAAAAATATAGTCAGTCAGATTGGCAACCATATAAGCTCTATGTGTATTGTTTTTGTTTTCCTTGTGAGGATGTAGATTGACTCACCTGCTTGAGCCCTCTGAATTAACTGTAGCACAGGTCCACAGGGATTTTGAAATGGCAAATCAAAACTCTGCTTTCTGGCTTTGTCCTTTTTTAATTTTATCAATGTGAGCCAGAGTTTCAGTTTGGAAATGTACACATTATGCAAAAACATTCCTGCCAAGAATCCGACATGATTCCCACAGAAGCACCGATTTGAGGCTCTTCTGCAAAATGAAATGATAGCTAACTATATTACTAAATTATTCCCCTCCTGATATAGTATATTTAGCTTCTTCATGGCAGGGCTGTTTTCTCCTGAAAAGATTACGCAGTGGTTCTTAACCTTTATTACTCAGATGCTTTTGAACTGCAACTCCCAGAAACCCCAGTCAGCACAGCTGGTGGTGAAGGCTTCTGGGAGTTGCAGTCCAGAACTCCTGAGTAACCCAAGGTTAAGAACCAGTGGATTAGAGCATATTTCTGTTTATGTCACTTGGTATGAGAAGAGGATCCTGACAAATTGGAACAAATTCAGAGAACGTCAACAAAGATCAGGAGTCTGGAAACCAAGCCCTTTGAGGAAAGGCTGAAATAAGTGGGCATGTTTATCCTTGAGAAAAGAAGACTGACAGGTGATATGATAACTTTTCAAATACTTGAAAGGCTTTCATACAGAGGAGTGGCCGGATCTGTTCTTAATCACCCCAGAGTGCAGGACATGTAACAATAGGCTCAAGTTACAGGATGTCAGATTTTGGTTAAATATCTGGAAAAACTTCGAAACTGTTAGAGTTTTGTAAGTAAGACAGTGGAACCAATTACCTCAAAAGGTGGTGAGCACTCCAAAGCTGGAAGCATTTAAGAGAAATTTAGACAACCACCACTTGGCAGATATTCTTTGATTTGTTTTCCTGCACTGAGCAGGGGGTTGGACTCGATAGATCCCTTCCAACTTCACTATTCTATGATTCTATGTAGCAGAGGACAGGAAGTGCATCATCATAATGAGGACTAAAAGACAAGTACATCAAGTGACCAGGACACATGACAGGCAAGACTTTTTTCTCTGGAATCAAAATCTAACTAGTCACAGAATGATCTAATCCACCTTCAGTCTGCAGTTTCTGACTTCTAGCTTTATTTACACCACAGTTGATATAATGGATCAGTGTCTGAGTCACTTGTATAAGTCTAAAATGGATGCACGCTGTGCTCAATGCTTGTTAAAAAAAGAATCTCTGAATCCTACTTTTCTCTATGCAGGTGTATGTGGTGGCGTTCCCAATGCAAACTTTTTCCTCTTAGAGGTTATGGGCTTTATAGTTATCCGCTCATTTATTTTTATTGTCTTTAGTGTGTCATTTTTATCTCTCCTGGATGTTCTAGCAACAGACAGACAGACAGATAGATAGATAAAATTTTGGCCATTTTCTACTTACACCAGAAATCTACTTGCTGAAAACTCTTGGACATTATCAAATCCTGCTTTCCTTTCAATTTTTTAGGCTCTACATCCACAGACTGGGAGTCACGCTTTCCAGAGCTGATAAGAAAACAAATTAATAAAGAGGGAATGTAAGAGTTTTATTTTCTGCTCAGAAAAGAAAAAGAAATTACACAAAGGGATAAAGGGGTGTTTTTAAAACACAGAGGCAAACATTTAATTTGACTTTTTACAACATAAAAGCTTCTATTGTATGAACAGTTTGTACACATTTTCTGAAACGTTTTCATGTGCAATAAAAATAAATAGCACTCATCATGTTCTCATGATTCTGAGTACACCTTTGAGAATGCTATTCTTCAGATAAGCATGATAGCCAAATGCCCACTGGTTGCACAGTCCTAAATCTAATTCTGGTCTTCTGTGATGACATTAACTTCTTTTCTAAGCTTATCCACACTGATGCTGGCTAAAGCTTAAGAGCTCTAAAGTTTGTTATAAGCTTATCATGATTTCCTTGATGAGAAAATTATGCCAATGAGCAGTTTATCACTATCAACATTCTTAATAAATGCACTTTGGCTGAATAAGTTCTCAGACGAGGGGCTTGAGCCTCTGGGGCCAAATAGCACAGAGGAACTGGCAGCTTCCAATTACCTGAGGCCCTGAAAGACTGTTGTAGAATCCCCTCTTGTAAAGGCAGTGAGCCCAAAGAAGAAAAGGGCCTCTTGTCGGTCCAAGAAAGCAATGTCAAACAAAGGGACAAGCCAGACTGGAGACCGCCCAGCACAGTTTACAAGGGAGGCCTCCTGAGTCATACAGGTATCCTCTTTAGTCCAGGGTCTCACTGAAAAGCAAGCCCTCTTCCTTGGGAGACTTGATGCTGGGAAGCCAGCAATTGAGCCCAGGGACAGCTCAATGAACAAACCAGTCTGTATCTTTTGCTTTCTTCAGAGGTCTTCCTTTGCCTGCTTCTTGCTTGCTTGACCTCCTGGCAAGCTTAGCTGCTGCAATTACTCTCCTGGCTACTCCCTGCCTGAATCGCGTAGAAACAGGATTGTGATTTATGGCAAGACCCTGCTTGCACTTTGAACACTCCTTTGCCCACAGCGCTGCAATTTGCTTATGTTTCTACTGTATACTGACCCTGCCTGATGTCTGTGGATTTCTCCTGTTGGTCACCCTTGAGAAACTGTACTCTGTCTGGCGTATTCAACTGGCAGCTAGAGAACAGGACACACACAGAATCAGAGAATAGTTGTATGTTTGCGTGTACATTCACACTGCAGTAAATTACTAGGCCCAATAGATTCCCTATACAAACTGAAAAGAATATTTTGCAACATGTAGACATTTCACGGAAGATGTGCAGGCAACCCTTTCACACAAATCAACATGGGAAGTTTTCTTAAGGTTCAAATTTGTCATACAGCATTTTCCCTTACCAAAGCTGCCCATATTCTTCTTCCCGGCATGGAGAACAGGGTTCTGTCTTGATAGTCACCATCTCTCCCAAGCAATCATTTCGTTTTTCACTCATGTTCTGTAATAAATTCAAGATAGGCAGAAAGCTAAATAATTTTGGTCATGGTAGTTCTTCTTCATTTCAAAGCACTGTTTCATATGAAGCACTTAAGAAAAAAATAATAATCCTGATCCTTCAGCAGATAAAACAGTCCATTGCAATAATAAACACTGTTACCAAAAAATTAATAATCAAATTTTAATGAGAAGGTGCAGTATAATCACTTCTACCTCAGCAAATCCAGTTCAAAGAGAAAGCTGGTAGAAGGCTGACTGAGATCCCAGTAATTTGTCTGCATGTTTAGGATCTGATTAAAAATAGAACTGATAAACATTATGCTACACTTTGCTATATCTCAGATCTCCTCCAACATGCTTATCAGTTCATATTGAAGACCGATTTCCCCACCCACTATGCTGAAATCTACCACAAAACAAGGCTATTTCCCTGTTCCATACTGATGAGGTAGTTAATAATGTAAACCTCCTACACACCTGGAAACTGATTATTCTAATGAAGTACAGCAATTTTGAAATTTCTAAAATAAAATCAATTTGATGTATTTCCTTATATGCTGATTTGCATGATACACATTGGAGTGGTTCATTTGATAGAGGTCATAAGCTAAAAGCTTACAAGCAAGACAAAAGATCTTGAGTCTGTTTCTTAAAAGGTAAAATACAAATCTGTCAGAATTCTGACAACTGCTATAGACACCTTCCTATGCAGAAGGTGTCTTGAACGCTAGCCAAGAACTACATTCACCCAGAATAATCATCACAACCTATCTATAGCTTGTAACTAGGACATCTGAAAAACTGCGTGCTTCCATATGAACCTACACATTTTATAAGATTTTTTTCTCAGAGGCTACACTCTGAGCATCTCTAGCTTTGGGAATGTAACAATGCCGACCAAAGAAAGTGCTCTGATGTGACAGTGCTATGGGTGCGCAATGCTTTGCGCATTCAAATGGCACATGCTCATACGTTTAACCATATGATAAAAGGAAGATGGACTACACTGGCTTTAGACAAGCACACTGATGACTGCATATTAGCAGGGGGCAGTCCAAAGTGGGTGATGCAGTCTCCATGGCCAGCAGGCGCCTTTGGTACACATGCATGTCCACTTCCATGTATACACAGACAATATAAAACTTACTATTAGCTGCTTAGGAAGCCATGCTGAAAGACAGCTTTCTAAATCACTGACTTTCTACAAGCAGTAGTACAGGGCCACTGTGACACTGAACAAGTCTAGGTGGGATGCAGGATGTTCATAACAATGACTAAGAATTTGCTTTACTCAGCCCCCATGTCCTCCTGTAAGAATCACATGCAATCTCCTACTGACCTGACTTGCCACAGATCCACCTGTGATCTCCTGACATACAGTGGTGCCTCGCTAGACAGTTACCCCGCATGACAGTTTTTTCGCTACACATTGACTTTTTGCGATCGCTATAGCGATTCGCAAAACAGTGATTCCTATGGGGGGAATTTCACTGGACAATGTTTGGTCCCTGCTTCGCAAACCAATTTTCGCTAGACGATGATTTTGACAGCTCCCTCCATGCTTGCAAAACAGGTGTTTTCGGGACCTAAGCTTCACAAGACAGCGATTTAAACAGCTGATCGGCGGTTCGCAAAGCGGCTTTCCTATGGCCGATCTTTGCTAGACAATGACGATTCTTCCCCATTGGAACGCATTAAACAGGTTTCAATGCATTCCAGTGGGGAAATGCATTTCGCTAGACAATCATTTCGCTAAACAGTGATTTCAGTGGAACAGATTATCATCATCTAGCGAGGCACGACTGTATTAGCTTTAATTTCTGTTTTTTTCTTGATCCCCTGTACTCCATGATCATGACATTTTCACTGATGTGCCAACTCCATCCACAAATGATAAAATATACAGTTTCCCCGAAAATAAGACCTAACCTGAAAATAAGCCCTAGTATGATTTTTCAGGATGCTCATAATATAAGCCCTACCCCCAAAATAAGTTAAGTGAAACCCCGTTCTCCACCATTGTGCAGCATTGTGCAGCAACCAAAAGATATGACTATAAAATAAAATCCCCTGAAAATAAGCCCCAATGCCTTTTTTTGAGCAAAAATTAATATAAGACCCTGTCTTATTTTCAGGGAAACACGTTAATAGCAAATATCCTGTATTTAAACCTATGCATATTCATCCTGCGGAATAAAATGGATTTTTATATATATAAAAGTAGAATCCAGGTTCTTTCATATAGTGATTTTTGAGAAAGAGAGATTAATAATAATTGGTTGAAATTACCCTTTTAAGGAGTTGGTTAAATTTAGAAATCACTTACCTCCAAATTCCTGTTTTTAATAGTGCCTTGTCATAAGCATTTACTGGACTCTTCTATGAAGTATGCTAGATACATTTCAACTACAAGAAGACCCTTTCCCTCTGGATGCAAACTAAGTACATATAAATATTCTAAAATATTTGTAAGTACTTGTTTGCATCAAAAGATGTCTGAAATGGCAATTGCTAGAAATGCATGAACTTGCAGTTATTATTAATTTTCCAGCTTAAATACTTGAATTAATCACATCTGGAAACTGGTTCCTCCAGAGCCCTAACTTGGCCCACTGATAATTACACCTAAAATCACCCTTCCTAGGCATTTGCTTGACTCTCTTGTTAGGTGTGTCATATAATCTGAACTATGAGGACTTTTCCCTCTGGCTATGAACAAAGTAGTTTATCTGCTGTCAACTCTGTACATTTCATTTTATCATACAACAATGATTGCTGCAAGCAATATTTTTTTTAAAAAAAGGCTTTGCTAATACAGGGAAAAGAAAGTCTTATAAACAATATATGATGAAGGCCAGAAACAAAAGGAAAATAAGACAAAACATGTTGTGGCACCTCAAAGACCAATTTGCTATATCTTAATGTGAGCTTTCATAGACAAGTCCAGTTCCTCAGACATATAAGAAGAAATAAACAGTCTTTTGACTAGATAAATGTCATTATAAAATGAATATACCCAAACTTCTAAATAAGGACCTTCATTCTGAAGTAGAAATAGGCAATGGAATGACTCCTAGGCAGAGTATTAGGTGGAAGGAGAAAAAAGACCAGGGTCAAAAAAAGTTGGAGAAGGGAAAGGAGATGGAGTATTGGGGTGGGGTGGAACTAAGAGGTGTCCAACCTGGTCAAAGGTGAGCACATTTGCTATTACTGTATATTGTACTAGTGCTATTTGACTATGACATCTGGATAGAAAAGGGATGGATATTATATGCAATGCAGAAGTTTCATCTTTTGGTTCAGGACGTTTGGAAAACTCTTCCATGTGATCCATAGCAGCACTGATGGTACCTGTGAGAAAACTCTTCCATGTGATCCATAGCAGCATGGGAATCTCTGCAGTATGGTTCTTTCCTATGTCACCTGGTAACATTGGGAAGTTGTCACTGAAAGTCTATAGTGTACCTCCCTCCCAGGTCAGAACACTTCTTGGAAAGAACGATACTGGCATAAGACAAAACATTTACTTGTACTCGTTACATGTAACTGTGAATTTCTAGTACCACCAAGCAGCTTGTAGAAGAACCACACTGCTGCAGCATTTACACTCATAATAATAATGGTGCTTCTGTGGATACTAATCATGATGGCAATTGGTAGCACCTGAGTCAACAATAAAAGCACATTTCTGGAAATAAAAGAAAAAAGCACATCCCTATCTTCACATGCTGTTATACAGTATTGTTAAATTCAAACATGAGGAATACTACAGTAGCCACACCCCCATCTGTTGTCCCACCATTTATTTAGAGGATGACAGCCTGAAGATAAGAGTCCCTGCTATGTGTGAAACACCTTCATTTCACAGGTTGGCACAAAAACTCTAGGATTGGGAACATTCAAATGCATCTTCATTTAGTCACAAAGTTCACTAGGTGACTTCAACTGAACCATTCTTTCTCAAGAACTGTAGTATGATTGATGTGACAAAAAGTGGAATAAAAAGATTCCGTAGAAGAATGGGAGAAAAAGTCAATAAATCCAAATATCTGCAGGCCCTCATATGGATTGACAGACCCACTTTTTATTTATGTGCCACCTTTTCTCCATGGGGAGAATTAAACATTAATCAAGTTTAAAAACAACTTTGAAAGTATATTAAAAGCATTTTAAAGTACAGGGGTACCTCAACTTACGAACGTCTCCACTTACAAACATTTCGAGTTACAAACGGCTCCATTCGCAAAATGTTGCTTCGACTTGCAAATGGAACTTCGACTTATGAATGAAAAAAAAAGTTTCCTGCCCTTTTTTTTGACCTAAGTTCATCTTAGGTCCGGACCGTCCAATGGCTTTCAATGGAGAAAACAAAAAAATCACCAAAAATTAAGGACGCCTCAGAACAACACCAAATTAAGTTTGCATACGTTTCACAAGCTCGACTATCAATGCCCAGCATTTAAAACAGGTTTCAAACAGTTTAAGGCACTTCTACAGGAGCGAAAAGGGACATCGGAAAGAGCTTCAAAAGCAGGGAAACGGAGATCAAAGAGCCCTTTCCAATGTCCCTTTTCGCTCCTGTAAAAGTGCCTTAAACTGTTTGAAAAGTGTTTTAAATGCTTGCTATCGTTAGCCCACTTCCTGAAACCTATGCAAACTTAATTTGGTGTTGTTCTGAGGCGTCCTTAATTTTTGGTGATTTTTTGTTTTTTCTCTCATTGAACTCTATTGAACTGTCCGTCCAATGCATTTCAATGAGAGAAAAAACAAAAAATCACCAAAAATTAAGGACGCCTCAGAACAACAAATTAAGTTTGCATAGGTTTCAGGAGGTGGGCTAACGATAGCAAGCATTTAAAACACTTTTCAAACAGTTTAAGGCACTTTTACAGGAGCGAAAAGGGACTTCGCAAACCCATTCAAATGCACTGAGTCGGCTTCAATGCATTTCAATTGGGGAACCGCGTTTCCCCCAACGATGTTTCCTATGGGGATTTTCGC